TTCTTATCTTTTTTAATTTATCGTTTATTTATGTATGTATTTATTATTTATTTATGTATTTATTATTCCTGAAAGTTTTTCTGCAGTTTTTAGGATTTTGTATATATGGTATCATTTCATCTGCAAATAGTTATAATTTTACTTCTAATATGTATCCTTTTGATATCTTTTTCTGATTTGATTACTGTAAGAACTTACAAAACTATGTTGAATAAGACCAGTGACAGTGGACATCCTTGTCTTGTACCTGCTCTCAAGAGAAAGGCTCTAAGTTTTTCACCCTTGATTATAATAGCACAGAGGGTAGGGTGTTTGCCTTGCGCGCAGCCAACATGGCCCACCTGATTTCGATTCCTCCACCCCTCTCGGAGAGCCGGGCAAGCTACCAAGAGTATCTCGCCCGCACGGCAAAGCCTGGCAAGCTACCCGTGATGTATTCGATATGCCAAACACAGTAACAACAAAGTCTCACGATGGAGACGTTACTGGGCCCGCTCAAGCAAGTCGATGAACAATGGGAGGACAGTGACAGTGACAGAGTATGATATTGGCTATCGGTTTGTTGGAGATAGTCTTCCCATGTTGAGATATTTTCTTCTAACATTGTTTTTGAGTTTTGCCATTTATAGGTGATGGGTCTTGTCAAAAGCCTTCTCTGCACTGATTGATATGACCATATAATTTTTCTATTTTTTTAGATATAATGTGTTATGTTAATTGATTTGTGCATATTGAACCATAGGTGCATGCCTGGAAGGTACCCCAAACGATGTGGTATATAATGCTTTTTATATATTGTTGGACTTGGTTCACTAGGATTTTGTTAAGAATCTTTGCATTGATGTTTACCAAGGATATTAGTCTATAATTTTCTTAGCAATATCTCTGTCTGATTTAGGTACCAGTGCGATATTAGCTTTAGAGATGGTGTCTGGAATATTACTGTTTCCTTAACATTTTGGAAGATCTTGAAGAGTATGCCACTAAGTCTTTATTTAAGTTTTGGTAGAATTCTCTAGTTAATCTACCTGGAATTGGGCTTTTATTCCTGGGGATATTATTAATTATTGTTTCAATTACTTTACTGGAGATTGTTCTGTTCAGGTTTTCTGATTCTTTATTCAATCTTGGAAGTTTGCTTCTAAAAAATGGTCCACTTTTTCAGGTTCTTGAGTTTGGTGGCATAAAGTTATTCATAATAACCTTTGTGATTTTTTTTTGTTGCATTTTTTGGCCAAAGTCAGTGGTGATCAGGTTTTATTCCTGAACTGCACTCAGAAATTACTCCTGACAGTGCTCATGACCATACAGGATGCCAGGGATCAAACTTGGGTTGGCAAATGCCCTGCCTTCTGTACTATTGCTCCAGCCACTCATAATTTTCTTGTATCTCAGATACTGTTGATTTCTTCCCTGTATCTCTGATCCTATTTTTTTCTCTTTTTAGTGAGTCTAGCTATAGGTTTGTTGATCTTGTTTTCTCTTTCAAAACCATTTCCTGGTTTCATATTGTTTTTGTTTGTTTGTTTCCTATATCATTTATTTTCTTTTTTTTTTTTTGCCTCTCTTCTTTCTCTCTGTTTTTGCCTATTAGTTGCTTGGCTGTTGTTTTTCTAGTTTCTTTATCTGACAGGTTAGCTTATTAGTTTGCATTTGTTGTTGCTTTTTAGATTTCTCCATCTGACAGGTTTGCTTGTTAATTTGAGCCTTTACTTCTGTTGATGTGTGCTTGAATAGATATAAATTTTTCTCTAGTACTATTTTAGCTGTGTCCGATAAATTTTAATCTTTGATATCTTTATTCTCATATTTTCAAGGAATTTTATACTATTTTTTGATCCATTTGCTATTTAGTAGCATGTTGTTTAATTTCTAGGTATTTAGTCATTTGCCACTTTCTTTTAATGATTGATTTCCAGTTTTGGGTCTTTCTGGTCTGCAAAGATACTTGGTACGACTTCTTTTGTGTGTGTGTGTGTGTGTGTGTGTGTGTGTGTGTGTGTGTGTGTGATTTTATGGATAGTTGTATTGTGCCCCAGCATGCGATCAATCCTGGATACTATCCTCTGAGTCATGATGAAGGATGTGTATTCAGTGTTTCAGAGGTATGGTGTTCTGAATATGTCTATTGGACCCAGTTCTTCCAGTTTCTTTTTTTTTTTTAGTTGATCTGTCATATGATGAAATATTGAAGTTTGCCACCCCCATTTTGTTATCATTGATGTACTTCTTCAGGTCTGTTTGAAGTTACTTTATATTCTTCACGGCCTCTTCATCTGGTGCACATATGTTGAGTAAAGTTATGTTCTCGTAATCTATTGACCCCTTGATCAGTATATAATGCCCTTCCCTATATTTTATTATATTCTTTACTTTCAGTGCTGGGCCAGAGCGATAGCATAGTGGGTAGGGCGTTTGCCTTGCATTCGGCCGACCCAGGTTCGATTCCTCCACCTCTCTTGGAGAGCTGGGTAAGGTACAAAGAGTATTCTGCCTGCGCAGCTAAGCCTGGCAAGCTACCCGTGATGTATTCGATATGCCAAAAACAGTAACAAGTCTCACAATGGAGACATTACTGGAGCCCGCTTGAGCAAATCGTTGAACAACTGGAGGACAGTGTTACAGTGCTACTTTCAGTGCTATTTTGTCTGAAACCACTATTGCTATTCCTAATTTTTTTCTACCTGTCATTAGCCTCGGTAATTGTTTTCTAGTCATTGTCTCTGACCTGTATTTACCATGGAAATTTAAGTGCACCTCCTGTAAACAACAAAAGGTTGGGTTTTATTTTCTGCTTCAACCTGCTAGTCTGTATTGTTTCATGGGAAAGTTCAATCCGTTGACATTTAGGGATTTGATAGGAAGATATTTGTCCTCATGTCTGTATAAATGGTGTTTGTTTGATGCACTATGGAATATTACCATTTTATAGGTGGATTTTCAGTATCCTTGCCTTCACGGTTTTATTCCAAATATGTCCTCAACTATGGTTTGTTTGAAAACGTTTGTATCTCTTTTTTCCAATCCAAGTGACAATCTTGCTGGGCATAGGGTTATTGGTTGGAAGTTCTTTCATTCAATTCTTTGCATATGTTCTTTTCTTGCTTGTAGGAATCTGCTAGAGAGACCTGCTCTCTAGTTTCTGATGATACCTTGCATGTGAGGTTTTGTTTCTTTTCATTTCCAGTCAATCTCTATATTTAGGTTTTTTTAAATGTTTATTACAAAATATTATGGTATTGTTTCATTTGGGGTTACTCTGGTATTCTTTGGGCCTTTTCTCTCTGTGCTCCTATCTAGTTCTTCAGACTGGGACATTTTCTCCAATTACCCCTTCCACTAGACTTTTTTCTGCTTTCCCTTATCCTTCTTTTTCTGGGATTCCTATGATTTTAAAATTGGAATTGTCAATAATGTCCCTTCTCCAATCTATACTCTATTTTCTCTTCTTTCATGATCTATTTGCTTATGGTATATTCAGATATACTTATTCACATTTTAGCATCACCCACATCACTTCTAAGGCTTCCTATTGCATTTTTAAGTTTTCTTACATTTATTTGGATGATATATTTTCCCAAAAAAGCTCTCTTCATGTCTATTGATTATTTGCTGGAACTTCATTTTCAGATCTTTGGGCACTGCTATGATAGCTATCCTGAAGGCTTCTATGAGCAAGTTATACAGGTTTGATGGTACTTGTGATCTCCTTGAATCTTTGCTATCTTCTGTTTTGTTTATCTGGGTTCTTACATTTTCTCATTGTTTTAGATATTACATTTAAGCGTAAGGGCTAGATTGGATCAGTGTTCAATGATGATATCAGTGCCCAGAGGGTGTTCATTGGTTTAAAGCTGGGCTGTGTAGATGTACAGAAGATCCAGGTAGCTTTGCTCCCTCAGCAGGTGTTTTAAAAGTTGTGGTGTAGTTTTCATGCAGCCAAGTGAGCAGCCATGCAATATAGGGTTTTGCAGTCTGGGCTTGCTCAGGAACTCCAAAACCTCTTTCAGAAGTTTGCCAGGCCACACCTAACAGAGGGGAGGTGGGATCAGGGTGGTGTTAGGGTGAGTCTGCCACTTTGGGGGATATATTTTATTATTTTATTAATATTATTATGAAAAACCACTTGTTGCTTTTTCACTAGGTGACTTTCTGCTATTTCTATAATGTCACTCAAATCTGGTTTGTCCACCGCAGAGAAACAGGGAAGAAGAGGAATTTGTATGCTACAACCCTCCCACCAACCCAGAGCCTGTCATTGAGAGATAAAGGAAAAAAATATATCTGAGATGTTTTCAGTCATTGATTCTCAGACAACACTAGTAAAAACTTTTACCGGTAGGAATGGGAATATTTCATTTTGAGATTTCAACAGATACCTGTCCTCCTATCTTCAAGAAAAAGAAGCATAATCATTATTTTTAGAAATTATTATTATTCTTTTTATGGCTGCAAACGAACGTCTGGATCACCTGCACGCAGTGGCATCTAGACCTGAACCACACAGTTGTCAGCTTAAAGTTTAGCAAACCCACGAAGTCAATACAAAGAGTACTTTTGTGGTATATAGAGAAGGGCGACTGGGCGGAAGAAGGGAGACGGAGGCACTGTGGAGAAGTATCCCTTTAGAGTCTACAGTTCGTTTAATTGGGAGTTCCTGGAGCTTATACTATTTTAAAATAACTCTAGGCTTCCAGATATAAAAAGAGGAAAAGAAACGCTTAATAGTCTGTTAAACTATCTGGGCCTTCAAATTCCAAAATGAGCGGTTTGATTTAGGGTTTCCAACTGTTGCAAAACCAAGCTGGCCAGGGAGAGCAAGCAGGAGGGGGCCAATTAGGAAGGCAGGAAATACGGCAAAGGGAAAAGGGCGGGGAGCTCGAAGATGAAAGATCTAGGCTGGTAGGGAAAGAGCTTGCGAGCGCAGCCCGGCAGGTGGGAGCGGGCGCGCAGTCCTACAGGCCCCGGAGGCGCGTCTCCCGGCTCAGGCCCGGGCTGCAGGGAGGGCTGCAGGTGCGCGGCGGGAGGGCGCTCTGCCCGCGGGACGCCGGGACCCCGCCCCAGCTCGGGGGCGCCCCTAGGTCCGGCACGCGCAGGTGGAGGCGAGCGCGCGAGACCGGGATGCGGCGCGGAGGGCGGCAGGGGCGCCCCCCGTAGCTATAGCGGGCCGAGGATGGGTGCAGCTGGGCGCGCCCGGGCGGTTCTGGCACAGCCGCTGAGCGGGCGGCGCGCGGAGCCGGGGCTGGGCAAGCGGAGAGCCAGAGGCGGCGGCTCCCGGCGGGATGCTGAGGGTGAGTGCGCGGCCGGCGCCCGGGACGGGGTCCTAGGGGCCGAGGATCCTGGGGGACCGGCCTCGGGAGTCGGCGCCCTTGGGGGGCTCGGGGACCGGAGACCCTGGGGGACAGGGACTGGGGGACTGGGCTCGGGGGTCCGGAAAGGCCTGGGAGCCGCGCCTCGCGCTCCCTCGGTGCGCCCCGAGCCGCCGCCGGGGTCGCTAAAGGCGGGGCCGAGAGCGGCCGTGGCCGGGAAGGGGGCGCGGGCGGCGGGGCCCGGGAGGACGAGGCAGCCCCTCAAAGTTGTCAAGAATAGCGGCCGGGGGCTCGGACCGACCTGCTCTATCGCGGGCGGGCGCGGCTCTGCCGGTGTCCCCGCTCCGTCCCGCCGCCTGCTGGAGCGCCCTCGCGCCGCGGCCCCGGACAGCGAGCACGGACCCGGCCAGACGCCCCAGCCGCCCCTGCCCGCGGCCCCAGCGAACCGCCGCCAGCCGGGCGCACGCCGAGGGGTCTGGGCGCCGGGCACGCTGCTGGGAGCTGCGGGCGGGGCGCTGGGACGGGCACCGGGCACGCTCTAAGGGGCCGGGGCCCCGGGCACGCTCCGAGGGAGACGGGCACCGGGCGCGCCGCGCGGCGGCGGGGCCGGGCGCTGGGGCCGGGCTCCGGGCAGGCCCCGCGGGGCCGATGTCCAGGCGCCCGCCCGGTGGCCGTGGGCTCAGCCGCGCCGCTCTCCTCTCCGCAGGGACGGCGGCCCCGCGCCGTGGATGAGACGCGCCCCGCGCGCGCGCCGGGACGTGGCCGGGGCCGCCCAGCCGCTGTGCCATGGCCGCGGGCGCGCTGTCCAGCTCCCTTCTGGTCACCTGCTGCCTGACGCTGGCCCTGTGCAGCCCCAGCCTCCCGCTGGAGACGCTGGCGCGGGCGCCCGAACAGCCGGGCCCCGAGAAGCGCGAGTACTGGAGGGGCAGAAGCGGGGAGGCGCGGGCCGCACAGGACGAGGGCAGCCCCGAGCCCCCGGAGGAGTACGCGTACCCCGACTACCGCGGCAAAGGCTGCGTGGACGAGAGCGGCTTCGTCTACGCCATCGGGGAGAAGTTCGCGCCGGGGCCCTCCGCCTGCCCCTGCCTGTGCACCGAGGAAGGGCCGCTGTGTGCGCCCCCCGAGTGCCCGCCGCTGCACCCGCGCTGCATCCACGTCGACACGAGCCAGTGTTGCCCGCAGTGCAAGGAGAGGAAGAACTACTGCGAGTTCCGGGGCAAGACCTACCAGACCCTGGAGGAGTTCGTGGTAAGAGGCCAAAGTGTCCACCCGGGGCGCGTGGGCCACACTCGGGAGGAGCCCGCAGGGTCGCTGTCCCCTACCCTGCCTCTCCTTTCACAGCGCAGAGGTCATCCTTTAAAGCAATGTGGCCAATCCACCAGGATTCCTTGGCTAGCCACCTTAAAAGTATTTTATTAGGACCAGGCCCTTGTCACTGACGGGAACACCCAAACACTTACTGGTACTTTTAACTTGCCTACTTGGAGTTTAAGTGTTGCCGGGGAAAGGCTCAACCTGTTTGCAAACACAGGGCAATTTGCCTGCCGTTTGGGATACATTCTTCAGCTAATGGCTAATTAAGAAGACCTATTCACATAAATAAGCCATTTCTTTAGCTCCTGTGTTCAGAGTAGCAGGCAGATTTTCTAAAATTGAAAGAAAAGGGTTGTTGATTGAAGGCCAAAACAGGGTAGATGACAAAAACAGGAAGCCCAGAATATGGTTGAAACTTGTTTCATTCAGGATAAGTACTAGTAATAATATTCAACACCCTGCTTCTTGTGTAAAGCCTCTACCTGCATATTTTATGTACAGGTCAACTTAGTTAAGCCTTATGCCAGTCTATATGTGAGACTCTTTTTCTCTGTTATGTCCAGTTTATGAAAAAAAATGGACACAGGATATTTCAATGTTTGGGGCAATGTGGTTATTAGATTCACCCATCAAATGAATAGTTCTACTCTGCAGAGTCACCATCAAACTCCATGCTGGAGCTCAAACGCTCGTTCCTTACGGGCTTTGGTTTGGGTGAAGATGCTGCCTATTAGGCTTCTGCTGGTCCCCAGTAGTTGTACTTTGAGAATCCAGTCTACCCACCAGTGATCCATGGGGAAGATTCCATCAGCATCACTGTGCAGCCAATACTGGTCCCCAGTCTATGCTTCCCCTTGGAGCAGCCTGTACTTTCCCAGTTGATTTGCGTGCTAGAGATTTCCATGGCTGGCAGCAGAGGGCATCCTAGCGCCTCCAGTCCTCAAAGAGGAGCAGGGCAGGTGGGGAGGGATGAATCCTGAAGGGTTCCTCAGAGCATGGTCTCTCTCTGAATTTGCAGATTCAGATGTGTCCAGAGCATGCAGGACCTAATGAACTACTGAATAGAGGACAAAAGTAATTGAGTAAGGACAGATTTATAACTGACATGCAAAGTATGAAGAGAAAGGTAGGATTTAGAGTCAGGATGCATGAATTATCATTCTGGCTTTGCCACTAAGTAGCGCAAGACTGGAACAGGGGCCAACTCTATTAGACATCTGAATGACAAGAGGCCAGATCTTCTGAAGATTCATCCCAGCTTCTGACATCCAGAGTCTATCTCCAGAAATATCTGTTTAATAACTTAGCTTTTTGTTTTGGCCCTTTTGAGAAACAAAGACAACTTTGATTAAAAAATAAAAATTAAAAAAAAAACATACATGAGACCTTGGTTCTACACCATAAAGCAATGACTGTTCTCAGAGTGCTTCTTGTCTATGGGAGGACCTGTCAGATATCTCTCCAGATGTTGTGGGTACAACATGGTAATGTGGGAGCAAAGTTAGCCACATATACTCGTAAGACCTAAAAGAGACCATTTCTTCTTGGCCTGGAATGGAGCTGTAGATGTGGACCCAACAAAATCCCCCTGAGTGCTTTTGGGTCATATAATATCTGAATATTATAGTCTCAAAATAGAATTTAAAAATAAATTACACTTACTATTTGCACTATTGAACCTCATACTCATTTCTTAGAAGTGTCTCAAGAGGTGAACTTAGAAATTAATGATGATAACACATCACAAAGCTTCTATTTGTCAAAATAAGATCACAGGTGAGGGAAGAATTAAAACTTCTTGTTTTAGTAATTAATTCTAAATGCTAGGTACAACAAAGCTGTCTTTGCTTGTGGGGGAGGAGGATCTCCTTTTTTATTTCTAATTTCAAAAGTTTGCCACTGGGGCTAGAGAGATAGTACCGGGCTCCACTTTGTCCCCTAAGCACTGCTAGGAGTGACCCATGATCACACAGCTAGGAGGAAATACAGAGCACTGTTGAATGTGGCACCAAAACAAAGAAAAAGATCAAAACTTGACCATCAATAGGTTTAAAACTCTGGATGCAAAAAAGAGGATAACAAAGGGGGAAATTGAGAAGATTGAGATCTTAAGAAAAGTGAAAAATATCAGTAAAGCTGTTTTTTGATTGTGAATCTTTCATCAAGTGACACTTTATTAACTTTCAAGTAATCATCACTGTTATAGGAAATACAAGTGAATTACTTCCCTGCTCCATTCAGCAATGTAATTATTTAATTGTATATATCCTGCTCATTCATTTCTGTTAGCATAAGGAATTTTTCTAAGTATTTTTTTAGTGTTGTTTTGTGCAAGTCATTTAGTGTCTCTATTTTTGTTTTCTTCAGTATAGAAAAGAGGATGCGGTGTTCTGTTGTGGCTATTGAAAAGATGCACACAGCATTAGCTGTGAGCACAAGAGGTCTGCTCCTTGTAAGAATGGAGAACTGTGACCCTGAGGGCCGGCACACAGTAAGACCCATAAGCATGCTTTGGGTAATCTGTGGCTTCATATGGAAAACATTTTCTGTGGCAAGCACTTCATGATTCTCTAAAGAGAATTTGATTCAAGTGAAGTGTGTGGTGCTATATGGTCATATTTGCAACACTTTACCAAGAAGCAGGGTGTAAAAAAAGAAACTGCAAGAGGGTCTGTTGACGTGAAAGGCACTAAAGAGATAGCTTCATCCTGACTCTGGGCTTCACTTATTTGGGCATGTGATTAATTACTGCCTCCTTTCCTCTTGCTTTTCTCTGTGCTGCTCACCCCATTACAATTCAGTTTTATAATCACTTCATTTCCAGTCAGTATCAGCAAAATACTATTATAATGCAAATAACAGACTCCTCTTCACAGAGATGCTTGCGATTTAATTTGAATGCCCAAATAAAAGCACAGTTTCTAACAGGATTTTCTCTACTACTGCTCAAATTATACCAACTATACTTTATGCCAGCAGGCACCCAGCTTTAAATAAGGAACCTAGTCCATGGTTTGTAATTTTTATAAACGAACTTTTTAAGTGCACTCTGCTTTCTATATTCATTTATGAGGGCTGCTAAAATAAACTGCTACTGTTTAGGTTTCTTAAACAACATGAAGTGATCATCTTGGGAATGTGAGATCAGAACATTGGCAGCGCAGTGCTATTGTCTTCCGAGGCTGCTCTCCAGGGCGTGCGCGTCTCCGCTGCTTCTCATGGTTGTTTTCTCTCTGCAGATATCTGATATTTAATATTCTTGTCTTATGTCTAATACCAGATATGTTCGATTGGTGCCAACTTTGAATTCATTTTGCCTTAATTACCTCTTTAAAGACCCTGTCTTTAATTACAGATAAAGCTTGAGGTATTAAGGTTAAGAATTAAGACAAATTTGTGTGGAAATTCATCTGTCCAGAGGTGATGCTGAATCTAGTCTGTAACACATTCTTCTTCATAACCAGAATTGACCTTGTAAACATGTGCCTGAGGAAATATAAAAAACATGATGACATAAAGATGAAACAGCAAGTAAGACTGCAAAAATAATTTTAAGAAGGCACAGAATAGTTTATAATAAATTCAGTGCCTTATAAACATAATTAAACAACTAATTTCAACCATTTGGATTCTGTGTCTATCCCATTATGAGTGCCACTTTCTAGTTATCATACTAATATGCCATAATCCTTGTAATGTATGTTGCTTCTGGGTGACCTGAAGATCCCTATGGGGCAGCTTTAATACCCACAGAGCCCCTGTGAATACCACACGGGCCAGCAGAAAATCAAACTAAAGTTCATTCATAAGATACATTTTGTTTGTGGAACAAGGGAAATTGTTTCGAGAGACAGAGTGAGAGAGACAGACAGATTGACAGACAGACAGACAAAGAAGAAAAGTGTCTGCCATAGACTCAGACTACGACTGGGGGGCTGGAAGGAGGGAAATTGGGGACATTAGTGGTGGGAAATGTAACTAATGAAGGAATGGATTTAGAACAATGAATGGCTGAAATCCAATCTTGGGCAACTTTGCAACTATTTGTCTCAAAGTGATTCAATAAAAAATTAATTAAAAATAGATCAAAAGGCAAATAATTTCCCTGTTCTTCTTACATTAAAATAAAATTCATTCATAAGATACGTTGTACAATAAAGGAAGTTGTTCCTAGAAATCCTGATCATTTTAGGAGCGTGAAAATAGAAATTGGTCTCCAACCTTGTTTCACTGTTAGAACCTAAAAGATTTTGGGCAATACCTTGAAATAAGGTGAATTATTTCTAATGAAAGGATAGTTAACTAAAGATAAATAGTGACTTATTTCTAATCAAAGGATAGTTAACACTAATAAAAGGATAGTTAACAAGTTAACACTTGATATTTCTTTTTTAATTATATTTTTATTAAAGCCCATTGTTTATAAAGTTATTCATAGTTGAGTTTTAGTAGACATACAATATTGAAGCACTGATCCAACCACCAGTTTCAACATCTCTCCACAAATGTTCCCAGGTTCCCTTCCATACTGCTCTCCCACTCGACCCCCCTCCAACGCCTTAGGGCCCCAGCCTGCCCTCTTGACTGCACCATTATGAGTTTGGATGTCAAATTTGGGGTCTCTTATCTTTCACTGTTATTGACTCAGTGTTTGGGTTATTTGACTCAATCATTAACATCATGTTTGTACCTTAATCTCTTGACCTGGACCCCTTGCTTCTAATCTGTCTTTTTCCCCCTGTCTTTTCCTTCCACTCTTTCCTTCCCCTCCTTATATTCTTGAGTCAAGGTTGACTTGGGTACTTCCGCCCTTTAAAAACATTGCATCCCTCATCCAGTTATTCTAAATACCAAACATAAGTGAAATCATGTTAAGTAAAGTAAGCCAGAAGAAAACCTTCAAATATTTCTTATGATATTATCAGTTCACCAAC